ACACCCTCTTACTTTCCATCCATCCCCGCTTTCTTTACAGTACTTTCACGGGCTGCACACATTGATTCAGATGTGACGGCGGCCATAAAGCAGCGGCAAATGGCCGCGGTCTGGCTGCCAGGAAAGACGGTAAAGAAAGTGAGGGGGGACAGTGAGTCATATCGGACTTTTAATCTGGAAAGAAGACAAACAGAGAGGGTGATTTTCCAGCCCACTTCCATAACGGATGTAAAGAGAGAGATAAAAAACGAGGGATAAAAGGAGTAGGACAGAGCTGCTCAGCTATCAGATACTAGTGAACTGTTAAATGTAATGGATTTGTCAGAGTTCCCCTGGCATATGGAAGAGTTTTACTGTATAGTAGTGGAGCACAGTGTGTAATAACTCCTTCATGAGTACTTGCTGGACATTGTCTATTACGCGAGTGTGAAACACCTTGTTAAAATGTAACACATGGAGGCCTGCATTGATTTTTAAAAGGTACAATTTTCCAAGCAAATAAAACCTAAATTATCTCCATGGTTGGTTTCCAATATTATTATAATCCTGAGCGCTAAAACTCTAAAAACACACACAAAATCCTGCCACAGATGTCCTGACATTGTGAAAATGTGCATTAAACCTCAGGATTTGATGTCTCAATAAAATGTGGAACCGTGAATAATAAGCTTTTGTTCTGTGACTTTCGAGCAGATGTCAATAAGCTGAATTGTACAATGTGACGGCAGTCGAAGCATGAGGGACGTGTCATTTCACTTCTAATGAGTGGAAGATTGGCTGAGGCCTTCTCAGGAGGAGAAAAAAAAAGAAAAAAAATCCAGCGTATCGATCAACCAATCGCACTGCCTGAATTTATTGGTAACACTTGAGCTTAATGAAGTATTGATCCCCGTCGTGCCGCCATTGTTGACTGAGATAAATATTTACCGGCTTTTTTCCTGATTTGTTTTCCTGATTTGTTATCGGGGTGACACCAAGGGGGAGGCCTTGGAAGGCAATGGCCACCTCTCTTATTTTGCCTACAGTGGTTGACACAGCTAACCAAAATATTAGCTTCAACATCTAGACCGCTACACAATTTCCTTTGTTCTGTTAACAATAAAAAGGTAAATAAATACAAAATTTGAAGATGCTAAAGCTAAACTGCTAATATTTATTAAATTAACATCCCATGAATCAGTAAAATGAGTCATTGATTTGTTGATAAAATTTAAAACATATAATAGGATTTATACAAGCTGCTGTTTGAGTAGTAGTAATCTTTTTTTGTGATCTTTATTTATTTTTGTTTGTATCTTCTTTTAGCTGATCATTAGGATGTGAAATCGTATATGTATTTTTTGTTAAACGGGGGCAGATGTTATAAGATTTTTTTCTTCTTTTTGCTCCTTTTCATTTAATGATATCGTGTTTGTGTTGAAATTTGTTTTGTTTTTTTAATAAAAAATAAAAAGTCAGTTTCCTCTGGTGTCAGATTTAGTGTCAGTAACTAAACTGCAACACAAATATCAAACCAAACCTAAAATGTCATGTGATAAGTCAACACAACTCAAAATGCTTCATAGATCACAGATTTAAACCTTCATGTCTCTTTTGAGGGGAGTTGTAAGGAATAAGTTCATTTCAGTAAAGCCAGGAGGCGGAGCTACAACTGCTAACTGAAACAGGAAGAGCAGACGAGGGAGGGAAAAAACAAGAAGTGTAAAGTTACAGCTTTATAAATTGTGTTTCTGTTAATTTAGCTCTTGTATTTAAACAATATTAACACAAAAAAAAATTGACGTGTGTCTGTGTGACTCAGGACGACTGCTTAGCTTAGCTTAGCTCAAAGCATGTCACAAGCATTAAGCATGTCACTGTTGCACGTGAAAGGAAATATTGAATTTATTAAGAACATGATGTCAATTATAYGATTTTTAGTGGTAGGGAAAATAAATAAAATCATTTGTTACCTTTTTTTAAAAAGTTGGTGCAAATGCTAAACAGCTCATCAAAATATTAGTTCTGGTGTTAGCCGGTTAGCAGATAAACAGAACGGTGTCCACCTTATATGAACACACACAATATATGAATATGTCTTATATGAACAATCTGTTTATTACCAAAATATCTCATTATCCACTGGACTGGTTTTATTAAACCTCTCAGAAAGTTATAAGGCAGATTGGGGTCAACCTGATTCAAGATGGCCTCCACAACTAATCAATCTTACAGAGTCAAAAGACTGACCTACATTTTGGCGAAGAAACAGCTGAGACCATTTCTGACAACAGCAGAATAAAAGTCAAGAAATTCTGCCACTGTTTTTGGTTCTGACGTGCCAATCCAAGATCAACAGTGCTCCTACTCTTTGAAAACTTTCTGGAGTCACACCTGTCTTCCTCTCTTTCAACGAAAGTGACCCGCTTCCATCATCGGCTGGATTTGAAGTCCGGGGTCATAATTTTCACCTCAACACGACTCGTCTGTTTGGCTATAAATCCAGGAAGTGAAAATAAAGGTGGAAAAAGGCCAGAAGTGGCCTCATGTCATCGGATCATGTCGAGGCAGTAAACCGCTGGCTTTTACTCCGAAGGCTTTGGGACCTTCAACAAGCCAAAAATGCAACTCTACAGGCTAATTTGTGGCCTACGCTCTTTCAAGTCATGGCCTAAAGCTCTCTTGGGAGCCAGAGAGAATCCCTCTTTTCACAATCAGTCAAACAAACACCTCTAGGACAAAACGAGACGAGGACTTTGATGGGGCTGGGGGGGCTGGAGGAGTAAAGCGGAGAAAGAAGCCCTTTATCTTTATGAACTGACTGTGGCACAGAGCACTGATTGGTACAACGGCGCTCGTCGGCCCCTGGTAGTCTCTCGGCTCTCCTTGTGCTCGGCTCCGGAGAGAAATGAACTGATGCAAGACTGGATTGAGCTTGACTGGTTTGAGTGGGGAGGAAAAAAAAAGTGAGGCGTAGCTTGAGTAAAGAGCAGTGGCCCAGATGGTGTGTGAATGAAAGTAGAAAGGAAAAATAAAAAAAGGAGTTAAATAAAGACACAAGTGGGCATTTATCAACTTCAAATATAATGTTGTTCCAAACGTCATTCAAAAATCAGGGCAATGTGACAGGTACAGACTGTGTCCGATTCAGCTTATGGAATAAAAACAGTCAAACTTATTTTACTTTATGTATTTCTTTTACATTTTTGCCACCTGTTAGTAAAAGAAACTGCACCCAGTATGTGGCAAATGATCCAGAAAACATTGCAGCAAGGAGAACATTATTTATTTATTGTTTGAAGCAGATGGTTGGTAAATTAAATACATTCTTACAAACTAAAGCAGCAAACTGGATGCAGAGTTTCATAATCACAATATGTAGAATGTCTCCCCCTTCTGGCCGTGGCAGTAATTACCCAAATAAAAGACCAGAAGTGACGCAGCTTGATTTATTTTAAATATTTCTGATTCCTTCTTCGAAACGTAATTTTTTTTTATTTGTCCAGAACAGCTTAAACCTCTCCACTCTTTGGCTGTGACCATCTCTCCTCTCCCTCTAGCTCCAATAAAACTTTCATAGATGATATAAAATGCATCATCTCCCATGCAACATGTTGCAACATCTCTCCAGCATTTATTCCCTTAAACTTTGTGTTCTAAAAAGAGGCATATGCTATTAAGATTGGTTTGAATAAAACACGCAAATGGTAACCAGCTGCAGGTGTTGTTGCAGAGTAAGAACTAATTATAATTCGAGACTTTTAATTCTTTGAAGGAATGCACGTCGGCTGCTGTCTTTCATGTCAGAGTTTATACTACAGCTGCTTTTGGTCGAATCTCTCAAGTGTCTGCGGGTCGAGTCTCTCTGTGCCTGATCTCATGCAGTGTTGCAAGATCTCAGCTCGGCCACATCAAACTGTAGCTCAGTATCTGTAAAACTGGTTAAAGGAGGCATATCGTGCAAAATCCACTATTTTAGCTGTTTTGTTGTGAACTTGGAGTCTRTAGGAGGGCTGAATAGAAATCTTCATATTATGTTTGGGTCATATTTTTCAACCCGTTCGGTTTTCTTTATTTTCTATGAACTTTTCTGAACTATTGCATCACAAAACGAGTTGATCTGAGACACACCTCAAAAAAGGGGCGGGGCTTGTGGAGGTACAATAAGGAGGAATTCAGACCAAAGCAATGCAATTCCACTTTACATAGACCCCAAATGAATTATTTAAATGTGAAAAGGAAGGATTTARAAGCAAGATCCTTTACGTTATAACCACTTTTGTGTTTGTTAAAGTTTCTTTGCTGTGGCGGCTACAATGAATAGGACGAACTTTAAAACTCTAAAAGCTGTGGATGTTTATCTATCGATTACATTCTGAATTACTTTATTAAAATCTGTCCAGTGGTTCTTGAGATACTTTAGTACGTCAGACAAAGAGACCCTCACGCAGACAGACGTGGCTTAAAACATCACCAGCCTTTCACCTTTGGCAGTGGSCAATAAAAACATGCACAAAAACASCAAGTGGTCACAAAAACAGTCAATAAAGACATTTTGGAGAAAGGACACCAAGCTAGGWGGCTTGCCAAAATTGTTTTTTAATGGAGGGGGGTATATTGACTTACGGGGACAGTTGGCACCCTCGGGGGTGCTGGATGGTGTCTTGCCGTCGGGACAGCAGCCAAACTCTGTGTTGTCACAGGATGACCTGTCCTCCGCTGTGGGCAGAGGGACACTTGGCATCGTGGAGCCTGTGGGTGACATACAGTTCATCATAATAAACCATGACAAAACAAAGAAATAGTAAAACTGCTTATTTCTAGGATTTATCTACAACTCTTCAGGCTCAAAACGGTTTCATTTCTAAGAAAAAAAAAACAAAACCTCAAGTCTTTTATATGTGAATTTGCTCGTGGTTCCACAGGTGTTTGTGTGTTTTTAGTCTGCTGACCAGTGATCGAACGCTAATAGAGGCATCTGTCAGGGGTGATTATATGGCATTTTCATGGGCACTGATTTTTACAGCTGGAACTCATTTTGTCAGGCAGAGAACACTTAATGGGCACTGTTGCCAGTCATGTCACACGCAGAGCACTTTAAATGATAGGGGAGTGTGATAACTGCCGACTGGCTGGCTGTTACCCCGAAGGCGTCCCAGGGAAAAAAAARAAAAAGAAAAGAAAACACAGTCATGTTTGTGTAATCATTACTGTATCTGGAAATATTGAGATAGAGACGACATAATTGTGGTTTTCTTTCTTTGTCTGCATATGTACCAGCAGCATCCTCTCTTAATGATGGTGTCGGAGGGGAGTGGGGGGGTGCCTTGGTCGGAGAGGTGCAGTTTATAGCCGACCGGAGATTAGAAATAATCGTGGAGGCAAAGAGCTCGCGGCTAAACAAGCCGTAAAGATGTCAGGGGCCAGGGACGTCCTGCTCAAGGTCTCACGGTCAAGGAATGTGAGGGGAGAGAGACGAGGAGGAGGAGGAGGAGGATTGGGGTGGGGGGTGGGGGTTTACGGGGCATCTGTTGGTGTGTGGTCTGCAGATTTACAGATGCTGCACAATAGCAAGGGCACTCAGTCTGACTCTGCTGGGAGCCATGAGAGCTGTCAAACAAACACACATGGAGGCACACATAGCTGATTACAGAAGAGCACAGAAACAAAAAACATGCAAATGTCGATTTCTGACAAACTCACATTTATGTTCCTAAGGCAGTGACGTGTGAAAGTGGACAGACCAGGAGGTTGTTCAGACCTGTTGTTAAGAACGGTTCTAAGTGATTGGATTGGATTCGGATAGCTCTAAATGCAGGTCTGCACGGTCTTAATTGAAAAAGATGTCCCCTTAGACCATCTTCAGAGGTGGTCTGGACCCCTTTTATCTGCATTAGACTGGTAGTATCTAACTGTATGTACTGAATGTCAGGAGTGATTATCTGGAGCATCAAGGATAAAATAACTACTTAGCAGCTTAATGATTAAAAACAATCAATCAGTGTTCAGATCGTATTCATCAGAGTGGATTACAGGATGTTGTATAGGTGAGTTTGTGACTACTTAAAGGGATCCATGATTAGTTGTAACATTAAAAATTTTTTAATAAACAAATATTTTAACTGTTAAATAAAGACTGTAAAACTACTGTAGGATGTTCAGTTTTTATCATTTTTAAACTAAAAGTTTAAAAATATATTACACAGACAGGGCCATTTAATTTACACACAAAGCATTTTGGGTAAATGATGACATCAACTAGGTCATTGGCACTAGGCTGCTAGCGAGC